GGTGGGGCACTAGGGGGGGCGACCCTCGCATCTCCACACCCGGACACGGGCAGGAGCCCCACGGCATTCAAAGTGCACAAGCACTGGCCCGGTGCACGTGGGTGAGCAGCCTGCCCCTCCCTCCCGCTCCCCCCGCTGCGCGGCAGGGCCCCTGGCCCTGCCGGCCCCTGTGCCGCCCCGCACGTCTTTGGTAATAAAATAAATAAACAAAAACGGACACCTCTCTACTGGGTAAAAAGGAGCAGGTCCCCGCCCGTGCGATCTTTGTGCAGGGTTCTTTTTGTGGCTCCAGTGGTGTACCTGTGTTAGTGCCAGTGCGCGCCAGTCCCGTGCCCAGTGTTGTGCGAGGGAGTTTTGTTGTAAAATTCTTTGTGCGGGTCCCTGCTGCTCCTAATCTCTTCGTACATCCTCCTGCTGATCTCCGCAAATAGTCCTGCTTCCTCCCTCGTCTCGCCCTGCGCGTCTGCTCCGCCTCACCGTCTTCTGCCCTGCGTCGTCTGGCGACGGGTCCTCCATAGTCGGTCGAGGTCGCCGCCCTCCTCGTGCCTCTTCCCAACGTTCCCGCCTCGGCGGCCGATGCCGTCTGCTCCGGCTCCCCAGTCCCCGGGTCTGCCCTGCTCTCGTCTGCGCTAGAGTCTCTGCTTCGTCACCACCGGCGTCTCTCCTCCTCCTTCTCCTCTTCTTGTATGCTTCATGCTTCGCACATCGCGTCGGTTCCTTTTCGTGTGAGCACCAGCCTGAAGCCCGCCCAGCAGCTAAACCGCTCCCTAAGTCGAAGCTCGAAGGAGCATCATTAGTCTCACCCACTTGGCTCGCTGTACCGTCTCCGCTCCCTCCCGCTTGAGCCGCCGTCGCGGCCCTCGTTCGTCCCACTGGCAGCTGGCCTGTCTGCACGCGCATCCTTCCTGTGCTGCTCGCTCGCCAACTAACTCTCTGTCGGTTACTGGACCGTCACGTCTTCGACCCGTCGAACAACGTTCGACCATGGCACTGTTCACAGCGCGCGCGGACGGCGGCTCTGCGCGTTCCGCTCAGCAGGACTTTTGTAAAGCGTGCTTTGTTGTGGCAGGTTACAGACGCTAGTATCGACCTCAGAGACCCAAACCCGAATAAATATATAAGGGTCAAACCATGGTCGAACATCCGTCGAACACAGGTCGAACAACGAAAAGAGACTAGTGCGACCGCTAGACGACGGTCTCCGCCGGCCCCGAGGCTGCCCAGCCCCAGTACCACACCGGCCACGTGCACCGTGGCGCTGCAGTCGGTCAGTGAGGCACTAGACGGGCTACGGAACCATGCGCGCGCCGGGCTCGTGCGCCGCCTCGATTTTGCATCTCTCCGCTCCGCGGCCGACTGAGGGGCCAGCTCGCCCGGCGACAAGCCCAGCCATCGCCCAGCGCCCCGTACCGACGGGGGCCACGCAAAAAAACCGCACCTACGACTAGGCTGAGCACGTGAGGGGGGGCGTCGGTGTCGGCCGCGGGTGGGCTGCGAGGTCCGAGGAGGGCGCGGGTGGGAGCATGGGAGATGCACCACCGCTCGA